GGTCCAGAAGCCTATGAACAGCTCTCAGAACTGAGAGAGCTTGGAATTCCAAACAGGCAGACTCATATTTCTAAAGAATACTATGTAAAAGGAAGAAGTATATAGTACATTGTCGTATATCAAGTTAACCCTCTGGACACCTAGTTGTCTGTTCATCTGGAGAGTCCTTATCTCTTCTACCAAGGGCCTTTGATTTTGCCCAGAAAAGTAGGAATTCTCCTGCCCAAAACTCAGAAATATGGAATTTAAACTAGTGAAGATTCTTGAAATAAAAGGGATAGTTGTTCAATCACGCAGCCTTGTTTGCTAAATTAGGTTTTCATGGAAATTTTCTTTATAGATAATATAGCCAAATTTCAGGATATTAAAAAAAGGTTACAAGAGAAAGAAATTGCATTTTGATGACACAGTTATGCATGCACACCTCATTTCTAAGGGGTCAGAAATTTTAGGCTTATCAGTGTTTACCATAGATTTAGTTTCTTTGACAAGATGTCTCTGAAGGATTTATGAACACATACACATAGACTGAATATATGAGAAGAGTTCCAGAATAATCTTTGTTCTGAAAATGTCCCTGTTCTTCTTGTATTGTTTTATAAAGAATCTCTGCCCCCTTTGCTTTTCCAGTAGATACACAGAGTAAAGAAATGAGAAGGAAGACTTTGATCCTGAGACAGGAAAGGCTCAAAACAGCAGGGCTTTTTTTGTCATAGAACGCCCAGAACGGAGTTCCGGCACCTTTTTTGGATGGAACCTTGTAGGGTAGGCAAGGCGGGTTGTATGACGTGTGTGAGTTTTGGCACCTTTTTTTTTTTTTTTTTTACAAAAATAGCACTGCAAAACAGTATGTACAGTTGGATACTCATTCAGAAACTAACAAGTTGTCTTCATCAAGCAGTATAACCGGGTTATGTGCCTTTAGACTGGAGTGAAGATATGTTATTTGTGAGCCACCTGCAGCAGTGATTCAAAAGTCAATAGTCTGCTGATACTGAATCCAATGCTACACTAGATTTGGATGACAAAGGCTAACTAGTGGGATTGAAAAAGGGAATCTTAATTCAGGCCCTGGATATCAGTTGCATTCCTATAATGAGTAGATGATATCTTTGTTTGCATTAACCAGATTCACTTCTTGAAGAATTTATCTATCAATGTTGCAAATGACAATACTCTATTCTCTTACTTGAGGTCTGTCCAATTTGGTTTTGATCCAACAGACATGTTCTGTTGTTCCTGAGAGGTATGACAGTAAAATACTAACGTTCATATACTGTATGTACGTGTATATGACAAACTCCTTGATTCTGACAATTTCTAAGAGTGAAGATTTATACCTATAATTCTAGATGATATATATCTATTCTATTATGAACTTTTATAAAGGATTTAATAATATATTCAATACACACACACACACACCATTATTATACTACTAGACCAATTTCGAAAGAACCAGGCTAGGAACCAGGAATTGTAGTATAAAAGTAAAGAGGGTGACATTGGGCCAGCCCAATCCACCTCACAGGGTTGTTGTGGGGAAATAGGAAGAAATGTATGTTTATCACCTTGAGTTACTCATAAAATAATAAAGGTGGGAATTAAAAATACAATAAAAATGCTTTATTATTGCTTTTTATGTCTATACTTGTATCTCACTTGCCATATTGGGTGATATATTTCAGACGGAATCCGTATGAGTGATAAACTCTTTATCCTTAATAAAAATAGGGCTTACTAATTCAAATGAAGTAAGGAATCAAAGCAGAATATGGACTACATTTATTCTCTGGATAACTTCCTGGGGTATGCAAAACATATATGCAGCATCCAAAATAGCCTTTGTTCAGCAATTGTCCGCAAGATGTCCCAGTATGATGTAACTTTCATTGTCCTCACTCAAGATAGCTGGTTGAATGATGGGAGTGCAAACCACTGCATTTATTATTTATTTAGACTATGATGAGGACATAACAAAAGAGAAGTAAACATATATACAAAATGTAAGACCACTGTATTAGAAAATGCAATAGGAGAATCTTGAACATATGATGATGTGCCATCAAGTCATTTTCAACTCCTAGCAACAGATCTGATCTATGTGTACAGTGCACTGAATGAACAACCAATATGGCAGCATGTTATACTTGATCATTTGTTCAATATCCTACTTGAGGGAAACTTATGTTTAGCATTTGGACCTAGACTGTATTTTCTCTAATTCTTGTGCTCTCTAGATATGGTTACAATTCCCATCACCTTCAGCCAGCAGGCTCTTCTTTAGACATTTCAAGGCATTATTACATACTGTGGTTTAAATTTGTGCTTCAATACATTTGTGCGATGAGGTGTGTCCACAGAAAGATTATAAAAAAAGCCAGGATGACAGCTGTAATCATGTAATCAAAGCCCCTGCCCCTTTTTACATATGTCATCATGCACATAAAAAGGTGGGGCTTTGATCACAAGGTAATGGATGCCATGTTGACTTTTTTGACACTCTTCCTGCAGATGTTCCTGTTGATAGGTGTTATTAATGTGAAAAGTATTATCCAATGACCCCACAACACCAATTGTTTATGACAGAAAGCTTGCCACAATTAAAACAAAAATCCTATGATACAGTAGTTAATATAATTTCGGATAGTAATATGGTAAGGATCTTTATCTGCTTTGTTTTCACAATATGCCTCTCATTTTACTGTTGAGGAAGGAGCAAAGGCCAAGAGAAAGGAGGACTAACAGGGAAGTTTCTAACAGAATGAACTCAAACTGCAAACAGTAATGCTACAGTCAAAACTGCAAGAGCTGCGGCGTGCCCGTATGCCATAATAGTGCGATCTTCCTTAGCTAGAAAACCTGCCAACCGGTAGAGTGAAGATTGGTAGCAATGATTAACATTTGAATCCAAAACCTGAAGCAAGCCAATACCAGTTCTGAAAAAAAAAAGTTCTCCCTGTGATTGAAGGAATGGGGCCACTGGAAAAAAAAAAAAAGCTATCAAGTTCCCGGACTGCGGGTTTGCAAGGACGCATCCAGGGAGAGAGACTGGTTGTCTGAAGCGGGCGGGAGCCGGTCAGGTAGGCGGCCTGTCCCGCTCTTTCCTCTAGAGTGAAATAGCCACCCTTTTTCTAGAAGTCGGAGCCTGCCGAAAGGCAGCAGCGGTGGGTGTGGCCAGCTGGATGTCGGAGCAGTTCTCGGCTGCCGCTGCCACTACAAGGGAAACAGACAAACACCCTCCCAGCCACGGATTGAAGTGCATTGTTTGTGCATGACAAGGTCAAGTCGAGAACTAGAGGAGGGCGGCCCTGGGGCTTTTTTTTTTTTTTCTTCCTGTGCAAACGGCGCAAACTTCGTGCCCTCGCCGCTTTGCAGAAGCCCTGTGAGAGCCCAGGGAAGAGAGGACTG